CACCTGCGTCATCTCCCTCACCACCTTAAACAGCTCTGTTGGACGAGATTCTGCAGACGCAATACGTGCAGTGGAGAAGGCTCTCTTCGCTGCACGTATTGCCTCCCAATAGGAACGAAGAAAGTTCCTATGGCGAGTTCTGTCAGATAGGAGTCGAGTCTTCCACCACCTGCACTCTAGTCATTGTCCACACCGCTTCATTCTCCTCAGCTCCAGCGTATACCAAGGCTTAGGGGATCATATAGCATATTTGAGATTAACTCTGTGAAAGAAGTTGTAGCATAAGCTTTTGTAGACTAAGGGCTGGAACAGACAGGTAGAAAAGAGTGGCTTGAAGCCACCCCTTCTGAGGACACCTTGGGACTGTGGCAAACACACATTGTGGTCTTGAAGATGCCCTCTGCCAATGGCCCAAATAGGAATGGAGAAGATCCACTCCTATTTGGGCCAGGTTTGGGCCTCCTGGAATGTCTGGATGCTCTGGTGGTGCGTGATGTCAAAATGCCACAACCTTGGAGTGTCTTGAAGCTGCCTCCATCTGGCTGACTGGGTGGCTTCCGGACATCTTGGGGGCATGTGGCATCAAAATGCCACACTCCTAAACTGACCAGAAGCCGACTTTTGCAACCAGTCTGTTCCAGCCCTAGGCCTCCTTCCTCAGATGTAGAAGTAGACTAACCCCCTCAGCAGCCCAGGGCGTCCGGGATGCCCTGGGCCAGTGCACCGCGGGACCGCGGCATCTGCACAGTGGCGCACCGGCGGCATCCCGGAAAGGAGTGCTAAATTGGCGCTCCTTTCAGAAGTCAGTGAAAGTGCGCCCTAAATGCGTAGGGCGCACTTTCCCTGACTTTTCCGCCGCAGCGTGTGCGGACGCTGCGACGGGAGGTTTCCCCCGGAGCACCGGCCGTGCGGAGAGCCGGCAGCTCCGAGGGCAACCTCAGGAGGAGGAAGGGGCGCTGTGCGTGCGGCTGCCCCTCCTCTTCCCTGCCTCAGAGATGACTTTATTAGTCATCTGCCGAGGCCCTAAGGTCCAAAACACATTGCAGAAATAATCCAATTTGAGACTTTTTTAAATACCATGGCTCAGTGCTAGGGAATCCTGGGAAATGTAGAGCCGATGCACACGGTCCGTTTGGGGTGGCAGAGAGCCGCTGCAGGG